TTTATTTTGGATAACATTCACAACTATCAACCACATGTAGTTTAAAATATAAATACATACCTGGTGGTGAATAGGTGCAAACAAAAGATATATAGAATGCTGAACCACAAGATATTCCTCGCCATTTACCATCTCTGTCAGACATGTAGGCACAGCTTTTTGAAGTACCTAACCAATTATTAGTCATACTTGTTAATGATATTGAATTTAGATCTTTCACCTGGCATGAAAAAAAATCATTGCAGGTTAAATACAATGTTACATCAGAGCCAAAGAACTGAAATATATATATATATAAAGTTTACTCTTTTTGTAATTAGTCCACTGCACTTTTTCTCCATCTGGCCAGGCCCCGTTTTCAAGACCAATCCAAAAGTTGACGCCATCTTGTCTGTAATACAATTCAAAACTCAACCATTATAATTTTAATGTGACAAGTATATAATTATATATGTTGTGATTATTATGCATAAGATTCTAATTTAGGGAAGCAAGTCAACTTACACTAAACTTCTTAAAAAATTATTATCTTGGATATTTTTACTGGAGACAAGCTTTGCACTACTTTCATCCGCACAACGCGTGACTGCGGTGCTACGGTCCACTTCCTCTCCAAAAACTTTATAGCAATTGCCCTGGAACGGTGTCCATCCTGTTTTACAACCTGTATTTGTTTTGCATAATTGCACAATAGTTATTATACATGTATACATTAAATGTCCAATCTCTTTTCAAACTACAAAAATTCATAATATATTCAATTCAAATACAATTATAGGATAGAATACATTATGCTCTATCTTAGGTTTGTAAACATTAAGGAAAAAAAAGCTGAAGCCTAAAAATCGTACGTCCACAAACAAAGCCAGCGTTTGACCAAGAGCCATCAGCTAGACAGGTAATTTTCTGTTTTTCAAAGTCGTTTGATTCGCAAGTCAGTTCAACAGTTTCATCAACAAAATATGTTTCCTTCAATGATTCACTTTTAGAGTCGGATGGAATGGTTGGCTTCGAACATCTCACTGTTCCAACTTAAAAAAAAAAATTTTTGATTTTTTTCATCTGCAGTATGATAGGTTAAGCAGGGTTTATTTAGTTTTGAAAAATAACTACAGTTTCAAATTTGCAATATAACACAAATTGTTGATTTCAAGAAATCATGAATGCTATTATAGCACTATTTACCTCCATCTTGTGTTTGTCTATCACACATATTGCACGACAATCTGCAACCTCGTTTTAGTTCAGGGTCTAGTTCACAGTTCGATATTTCAACTGTTCTTTCTCCACAATCGTCAAATATATCGTAGCACTTTTCTTAATAAGACGAAAATTGAATATTAAGGTTGATGTAAATATATGTACCTCATATATATGATGCAATTTTTCTTTTACTAAAAGCCATAGGTACTGATTAACATGATACTTAAAACATTTCATGATTGTAGAATGAAATTTCAAATATTATACAAATGTAATACTGTACCGATTCCACACACATCACAGTAATCACGAGTACACAAAAACTTGTTGGTAATACACCAAGGTCTGGTGCCGTGACCAGGATTCCGACAATAGTTACCGAGCAGATCGTCATCTAGATCCCTGGAAAAATTGTTATTAAGACATGCTGACTTTAACACTGTATTCATAAACATGATTTATAAATGCACGATAGCATAGTTAAGAAAGTCGAAAAAATTCAAGTACTGCTTAAAACATATTCTTTTATCCAGATCCAGTAAAAAATTACAAATTTACTACAGACTTACATCGGCTTATAGGTATTACTTGGGCAGTGTTTGACTTCTGACCACGGTAAACATTTATCAAAACGTCGAGTGATATTCACTGTTCCCCTGTAATTTTCTCCTTTGTCGGTATAGCAAAAATGCGGGTCGTTTGCTAAAAATGAAAATAAAGTCAATAATGCAGTTAAATAAATATATTTAAAGTGTTATGAATGTGACTTTACTGATACAGTGAAAACTGTCTACCCCGACACCTGCACCTGTACAATCCGTCATACTCTGAATGCCGACGTTAAAATTTATTCCAATTTTGCTTTTTTACGTTTCTTTATATTGTGTAATCCGGCACCCTGACTTTTCCGACACGAAGTTCACCTCACAGTGCATGTCGGGTTAGACAGGTTTTACTGCAAGTTAATAAACTTTAATGCATACGTTCCAGCAGTGTAACAGTCGCCGAGAAGCCTCGGCCAGTTTGCCGTAAACCAGTCTGAAAAGTCAGGCCCAGCTGATTTTCTTCTGAGAGGACTGTCATAGGGAATTTATCTCCACAGTAGCTGTCAAATATAATTTCATAGTAGGAACTAGTTATTACAATTCCCAGTTGAGTTTTGACTTTCAGCATGAGGCGTGGCATTCTCGACGCTACAAAATTAGCTTCTGCAATTTACACAGCTTTCCTTCACCGTTGAAATAGGATAGAAATTCGTCCGAATGTCAAAGAGTGTAACAAATAACCATTTTTTAAAAAGTTCTCGCACGGCACAGAGGCAGGGCTTAAGTCTTCTCATCGTTGTCGACAACAATTCAAAGTTCCTGATGCTATTATTTTCTCAACCAATGAGAATCTATTCGCCGTTTGACAGACGCTAAATACTTTGCGCTGAGAATGCCACACCTTACTGAAAGTCCAAGCTTACCTGAGAATAGGCCTACACGTAGCTGTTGAAAGTATGGACCTCTTAGTTTCATGTGTACATTTGACTGTACAAATCTTCCAATTATTATAACACCGTTTATAATATACCATATTACATGAAACCTTCATATGGAAGATACTTTGTAAATGATAATCCTATAAAAAGGCGGGTTTTGTTTTTCTCAAAGAAATTGAACAGCTAATGAATAAATAAAAAGAAAGGAAACTAACGATGTACACATACTGTAGAAGTACTTTTTTCCGCGTGGTATTAATTTACGCTATATACCCGGTCATTTTCAAAATTACATTTTTATAGTATTTCCAATTTTCTACCCGCGGATTAGACAGAAATTGAGATTCCGCGGAATTATGACCCCGTGGAAAAAAGTACGTCTATTAGTATTTCCATGTAAATTATTGACATAATCACCATGTATATCCCAACATGCGGGGTGTATGCTATGTTGTGCGCGGGGTGTATGCTTCCGAAGCGAGAGAAAGGGGGTCAATGGACGTTCTTTGTCCATTTTCTCAACTTACGGATATTTTTCACCAGAAACCATATGCCTACGGAAGAAAGCATTATCTAAGGAGTATATGGATACCTGTGATTCCACTAGACACCTTATAGTTTTATCAAACACCTCAACACATTTCCGAGGATCGGAGCAAGATTGACGCTACACTGTGTTTATGATCGAATATCAGTACAAAGCTTTGCTTTATCGTCATTTTTATATTATTGTTAAATACATGTTTACAATATAAACGTTTGTACAAATTGTCTGTAAATAAAATAGTTCGTATATAAAGATATTGACGAAAAATCAATGTTGTGTCCGGGATGTATGCAACATGCTGTGCGCGGGGTGTATACCCTTCTTTTTACTCTATAGTATCATTGTCTGAAATGTCATTAAAAAAATTCTTAACAACTGACTTTTGTGATAAAATTTCTATTTTTTTCTTAATTATTCACCAGTTTTGTAATAGCACAACTTCAGGTTCATGAATTCGATTTACTGGAAATAATACGTTCATCGTACTTTTGGCTTTACGTGCACATGGAAGTAAATGTACAGGGTACTTTGTTTAACTGTTTAATGTGATAACCAACAATTCATCCCTTCTTTCGATTTAAAGGCACCTTATTCAGATCTTTCCTTAATAAATGCTTCACACATGCATCATTTTGAATATTTTGACATTTCCTAATAATTTCTGTTTAACTTTTTTTCAATATTTTTTAAATGAGTTTTAAAATATTTAGATTTTTGTAATGTCATCAACACCAAAAAAAAAAAATGTTCTCCTTCTTTGCGTAATAGTAATACGTAATAGTTTACGTTGTGTACTTTGGCCCCATAAGCCTTGTCAGTAAACTATTTGTATAGTATTGAGGCATTGTATTGTACTGAGTACATATTTTCTAGGAATGGGCCCGAGGAGGGTGTTTTTGTGTCTTAGGTCATTTTTTTTTGGGGGGGGGGGGTATCTTTACTACGTGTATATACAATAATAAAATAAAGGAGGAGTGGACATTCATTGATATTAATTACACGTCAACGTGAAATTGTAATTGTACCAAAAACAGTTTTTTTTTTCAATTGTGCATGCCCTCAGAAAATTGTCGTCCCTTATTGCAAATGTGCATTTTTATAGCCGGCTTTACATGTTTATTGTAATTTGTAAAATACGAAATCATCAGATAAGGATTGATTGATTGATTGTATACTGTTTAACGTCCCTCTCCAGAACATTTCACTGATATGGAGACGTCACCATTGCCGGTGAAGGGCTGCAAATTTAGGCCTATGCTCGGCACTTACGGCCTTTGAGCAGGGAGGGATCTTTATCGTGCCACACCTGCTGTGACACGGGGCCTCGGTTTATACGGTCTCATCCGAAGGACCGCCCCATTTAGTCGCCTTTTACGACAAGCAAGGGGATACTGAGGACCTATTCTAACCCAGATCCCCACGGGGCTATCAGATAAGGAAAAATGAGTCCAAATATTGCAACAATTGAAAGGAAAATTAATATACCATACAGACACGTAATATCACCCCCCTTTTGTTCCAGACACAACTTTTCACTACAGAAAATGTTCATCGAAAGTCAGGTTGTCCCCTATTTTTTGTTGCAGCATAGCCATACAATTGTTATCCTTTATGTTTAAGTAAAAAACAACGAGAAAATTGGTACTGAAAAAAGACGGGACCTACAACCCAATCTGATCTAGGAGTTTTGAGTTCGATAAGCCCTCCCCCCTTTTTTTTATAGCTAGTCCACTTATTTCAAGGTTTTTTTTTCGGGTATCCCCCCTTCAAAAAAGATTCTACATCACTGTCATAAATGCTTAAAAATACATGTATTGATAACATAAATGATGCAGAAACAAAAATTAAAAGATTTATTCATAATACACCATTCATGTAGTGTTTTTATTATTTTTAACAAGCCAGATATTTAGATTAAAACGAGCCGAAGAAAGGGCAAAGTGTCTTCAATGCAGGTATTGGGGAAGGGTGGGGGGGGGGGGCTTTGAAGAGATTTTTTAGACCATTGCGCCATCTAGAATGTAGATAACAATCGCTCCTTGCACATCTAGCGTCTTTTATGCTTGAACATGATAGTTTGTTTTTAATTTTTTAAAAAATTTGTTTTTTACTTCAGTACGTTTATGGAAATTACTTTTTGGTTCGGCATTAGTATTAAGGTCTTTTATCAACACTATTTGTCGCTTTTAAACCTGTGTAAATAAAATTTCCATTGATACTTCGCACAACAATCCTAAGAAAAATATGGGGTGTATACACCCCGCGTACAACATGTTGCATACACCCCGGACACAACATTGATTTTTCGTCAATATCTTTATATACGAACTATTTTATTTACAGACAATTTGTACAAACGTTTATATTGTAAACATGTATTTAACAATAATATAAAAGTGACGATAAAGCAAAGCTTTGTTCTGATATTCGATCATAAACACAGTGTTGCGTCAATCTTGCTCCGATCCTCGGAATTGTGTTGAGGTGTTTGATGAAACTAGAAGGTGTCCAGTAGAATCACAGGTATCCATATACTCCTTAGATAATGCTTTCTTCCGTAGGCATATGGTTTCTGGTGAAAAATATCCGTAAGTTGAGAAAATGGACAAAGAACGTCCATTGACCCCCTTTCTCTCGCTTCGGAAGCATACACCCCGCGCACAACCAAGCATACACCCCGCATGTTGGGATATACATGGTGATAATGTTCTCCACAATTAAAATCTCACCTCAGTCCAAACTGACCCGGAAGTGAATGTCTAACCTCTAATCTATCAACACAAGTTCCATCTGAATTAGCTGCTACGTCAAAATCATCAAAATCAAGTTTTAACTTGAACCCATCTGTTGCCTGCAATATAAAAACTTAATAAAAAAATATTCATACAATCAGGAATTCGTAAATTTATTGTTTTTCTCATCCTTTCGATGAGCATATATTTATTACACATTCATATCCATTGATATGTTTATTTCACTTAATTCGTTACCATAGACATTACAGATTCTAGCAGGTCTCTTTCATAGTTGGATGCGCATTTTTATCGAACAATGTTGCTTGACATATAAACAATAGCATTTCTGGCTTTATATTTTATCAAGAAAAACTTTTTTAGTTTGAAATAATCGATTATGAATGATATACTGACGATGATATTCCAGAAACAGGTCCTTCCGCCGGGGTAAGAACTGGGATGCCCTGGACTCGTTATAACCGCAGTCGTCTTTCCATTTTTACTCAAGTGTATCTTGTTCCCGCAATCTACAAGGAGGAAACATGCTCATCAATTAATTCTCTTATTTTCCAAATACGAATTTTTGAATCAAAAATATAATGTAAGCCAATAAACCTGATAATAAAATAACATATTAAGCCCAAAGAACAGTAAAATACTAACACATTTATCTGTTCACAAAGAAATTGCTTAAAGTTATATGAAATATTTGATTAAGTTTTTTTGAAATCGAACTCAGCACATACTATCATTTAATACATTTATGATTAAATACAAACCGTATTGTGTTGGATAGTAGTAACATATGGGGAAGTCCGTCTTTTTATAATAATTTATGTATATTTTTGGCGTGTCACCCGAGGTCGAAGGAGCTTTAGACCTTGTCCCCACGCTGTATTTCTCTTCTTCAAAACTCATATCTTTGTACAAAATACAGATATTAACAAAAAAGTGAAAATTATATTTTACTTTAAGCAGGTCGTCTTTTCTTTGGTTATTTTTTTTGTTTTGATTTAAGCAGGTCGTAATACTATTTAAGGATGAATTTGCTTTAAAATGCAAAAATATACTAAAAAATATTACTTTATCATAAGGAGGTTTTGTCACAATACAAATTTATAATAACAATACATTTACTTGATTGATTTCCAATTCAGTCAGTAGCACTAGTATTTTAGTTAAATGTTAATGTATTCGTTGCAGACCTCTCAATTTACCTTGAACCTTTTGACATGATGAGGATTCTTTAAACAGAATAAATGGTTCTTTGATTGGTAATTGAAGGGGGTTTCTGGTAAAGCCATCAGACCGACAACAAAAATACAGGGTCACGTGATCACCGAAGGTACCATCAGGAAGGGAACCAGTAAAATTGTCTGGTGGTTGACCATCAACCAAAGCAATGGAGCCTTCAGAGAAACCTAGACCGGACATAAAGAATTTGATTTACATTTCATACCAGACAATTGTCGTCATCGTTTACGGTGGAATCGTCATTGCTTACAGTGACCAATGTTCGTGGATTTGGTAGGTCAGCGTTCCCACGAATTTACACCCCCATGATCGTTTAGTTTGTTAACATATTGGTTCATTTCATTTGTAGTACAATGTACATATAAAGTGTATCTTTCTCGTGTTTTTAATCAGGTTTTTGAAGACCTACATACCATCAGGACACTTGTCTCCGACTCTGAGAATACAGTACGACCCAGGGCCCCACTTGGAATGGTCTCCGATTGGGGTGGTCTCCGTCTTTGTACAGAATTGGTAACGTAAGGTTTGTCCTTCAGATGACAATGCTGAGAAAGTGTCAGACAGCACCGAAGTAAAGAAAGAATGTTCAGAAAATTGACCAGATTTGAAATTTTGGGGGCAACCGGAAGCGGCTTGTATCATTGCGAATGGCTCTTTCGGCCATCTTGAATAAGATTGAGTTTCTTCTGAAAGAAAAAAAAGACAACATTGAGAAAGGGAAAGTAGAAAGAAAAAGTTGAAAATGTTCGAAAAAACAAAACAATATGTTTTGCTATTTTTTTTATGTCTTGACATTTCATGGAAGATGTTCAAATCATTCATTTCATAAATCAGCACTTAAAAGACAATTACATGTATTCTAATGCATGTATTCAGACTTTTGGCTTCTACGTATCCAAAACACAGAGAATTTTGCTCTATCGTTGCGAATTTGACCTCGTACCATAGAATACCTGATTTATAAAGGGTAATTGCTTTTTTCCTTTCTTTTTTAAAGAATATTTTTGATGTACAAAATATTTATTTCCATAACTACGATAATGATCAATTGTAAAATTCCTAAAAATAAATGCATCGCAGCAATACTTACCAAAATCTGTCGGGGTATAGTAGCAAAAGTGGAGTTTATAATTGACAGAATACGAGATCCTCATATAAGGTATATTTCCAGATTTATGCAACAATTCTTTTCCGTTTTTGATTCTCAAGTATTGCATGCTGGAGCTCATACCTTAAAACACAAAGAGAATTTTTATAAACTAAAACAAGAGTCTTGATAAAAGGACTAATATAACAATATTAAGAAAAAATTGTCATTATTTACCCAATTTCTTTTCTTTAAATATTTTATAAATAGAGAATCAAACATTATAATTAAGAATAATATTTATTGTTTCCCCAAGATTTTTCCTTTCCATATTTGATAATTAGAGAATGAAACAATAAGGCAATTTTTTTTTATAATTTCCCAAACTTTTCAATTAATACTGGTAAATTACATATTTTTGTGGTGGTCATAAGTTCGAGGGGTCTCTCCATATAAAAAAAAAACGACGAAAAGCAAAACTCCCGCAAAAATTAGTGATTTCACAGTAATCAATAATTAAAGAACCTGCAACTTGCTGGCAAGCAGAGGTGTCAGGAAATAAGATAAACGGCTCTTTTGAGGGTAGGACGACCGGACTTGATGTAGACCCGTCACCGCGACAGCAGAAATAAAACCTAGTGTCAGTCGTGAAGTGACCATCAGGAAGAACGCCGAGAATATCCGATGGATTCGTGGTGTCGTCATACTGTATATATCCCACACTGAAGCCTGAAGAAATATATTCAGAAGCTATAATGGTGATCACTTTTTCAGGCATTATCTAGAAAAAGGTTTTGCTATTTTTATAAATAAGCACCACAGCAAATTTAAAGCTAATGGTCACTTTGTATTCATTACTTACCACTGGGACAATCCCCTCCATGGCGATAGATACAATATTTTCCTGCAGGCCAGCTTGGTGAAATTCCATTCTCCTCCGTTTTCTTCTTAGTACAAAATTTGTAAAAAGTAGAGGTGGGTTTTGAAATGATATCAGCACTAAATTTGGAACTTGTGTGGTCCATCCTGGTATCTAAATGATGCTGTGTAAAACTTCCTTCATAAAACCCACTTGGACAACCTGTAATCCGGGTACTTATTGTGGTGAAGGCGACCGACGGCCACTTTGTTGAAATCATTCGATCTGAAGAAATAAATGTTATAAGGTACCACACTTTTTCTGAAATGAATTCTTCTTATTTCTTAAGGTTTAAGATAACAGAATATGTTACATATGCCCCCCGTGTGTCTAAGTTGAAGTGAGGACCTATTTGAGTGACCTTGACCGTGTCCTGGAGTTACATGTAAGGTCAGGATGGGGTCTTGAGGTACTTTAATGCAAAGTATGGTGTTTCAATATGTTGGAATATGATTAAGCCTTTTTGAAAATAAAACATTAAAAAAAAATTAGTACAATTCTCGGTCATCCTCGGACTTTCAGAAAGGCGTGGCATTCTCCACATTATGTAATAAGCGTCTCTCAAATGGCGACATAGATTCTGACTGGCTAAGAATTTAATTACATCAGGAACTTTAAACAGTTGTTGACAACGATGACGCGACTTAAGTCCCGCCTCAGTGTCGTACGAGACGCTGTTATTTGATATTTCCTAAACTCGTTGACATTCCCCTAAATTTCCATCCCATGTATATTTCAACAGTGAATGAAAGCTGTGTAAATTTCAGACGGTTGTAATGTAACGTCGAGAATACCATGCTTTACTGCAAGTCCAAGGATAACAGAGAATTGTACTAAGTTGAAAAAATACCTCCATCATAACGAGTCTGACACCCGGTAGCGGGGTCTAGTCCCTCCGGACAGCGACAAGTACACATGTCCTTGACAAAGGCGGGGTAACCAGAGTTTGCACAGGTCAACGAGAAACTGCTGCACTTCAGACCTATAAACAAATAATAGTGAACTTTACAGCGATCGAAGAGCATCACCCAATATGAACTACCGTATCTTGTTTTAAACAACTTGCTTTTTGGGTCTTGATTTATACGAAATTGAATTGCATAATTTTTTTTAAATTTGTAAAATACTTTCTTTTGTTCCTGATTTTACAATATTTGATGCCATCATATACATCTTTTTTTAAAACTTGTCATCTTAGTTCTCAATTTTTATGAAATCAGTTTACTGAGTATGTAAAGAAACATAACAGACTTTAAGATGTGAGTACAATGCTACGCTTTACCTCGACAATCTGAGATTTGTGACACCTCACTGAACAAATAATATTGGTAGGGGTCTGTTTTCCTGACCAGGTATTCCAATTCTGGATCAAATATAGACATGGTCTTTCCTCCAGTTGTGAATGCCTTAAGGTAAACAAATATATTTTTTTAAAAAGTTTTATTGTTTATTTTTTCCAGTATTTTTCTAATTTAAATTAATGAACGTTATGGTCATATTTTATTTCTTAAGACGCATTCATCGGATTCAAACTAATCTTTAACTGGAAAAAATAAAGAATGGTATTTTAATATTATTGCATTTTTATAATAATCATTTATAACTTTAGAGTTTCTATAATATATATAATGGATTGGAAAAGCAGAATTACATATATTATCAATAAATATATATCGAACTTTTCCTGGGATCATACTTTCGATGTTAACTGGAAAGTAATTTTGTGCATTTCGTGGTAATCATGAATTCGTGGTTTTCTTCATACTTCCAAAACCACGAACATTAAATTCCCATTAAAGTGTATAATTTTAGAGTTTTAGAGTTTTTATTTTAATCATAATTTGCATATGTGCATTAATAAAAAAATAATAACTAAAAAAATATATCATTCTTCTGAGTGAATTTCTTCAATCGCACGATCATAGAAATATAAAGTTTAAAATTCCATGAAATATACCTTGTAAATAATTAAATGTACATGTATGTATTAAGAGACTTTATTTCATACTTACATATACCCCATAATGCATAACATTGGACAAATCGTAGTATCCAAACAGTCTGCTGTTCTTGATATTTTGTTCATAATATTGACTTTGGTACTCTACAATTACATGTATTTACTTATGAATTTATTTTTTTCAGTAGTGGAGACAATAAATAAATAACGTGTACCCAATCGTGGTCAATACGACTGTAAATAAATTTATCTCAAATCTTCATGAAAAACAAAGTTTCATTCAATTTGATTTCTGGTTTTTTTTAAAATATATAAATATGAAGTTTTTTGCATAATTGTCCAATAATAATTGCCGAATAAAACTTACTCGACTGTATGTTGTTGTAATGTACATCAAGGTAGTTATCGTGTAGAGGGTTGTTCTGCTCATGCGCAAACCCAAAAGCATGGCCCAATTCATGAACACAAACATCCTACAGAAATTAATACAAGTTTTGAATAACCTTAATGAACATTTATCGCAATATTAATGCAGCTATATTACAAGTTTATCAAGTTCTTTTTATTGAAATTTAAATCGATTAATTTTTTACATGCATTTAATCATCGTCAAATTGATTTGGGATCATTAAATGTATTTTCTCTAATTTACGTACGTTAGAACAGCAGTTAATTTTCTGGCTCTTTTTTAGTTTTCCAATAAATGACCAACAACTGAAAAATCAATATTTAAAAACCGTTGAATACATGCATGTTCTTAGGTGATTATTTCAGGAATTATTTATATTCTTTATACTATATACAGGGAAAATTTTGTAAACAGTATAATGTCGGGTACCTGTAAAGTGCGAAACGAATTGAAACGAAACGAAATCTGCCGAAACGAAACGAAACCTACCGAAACGATAATGTCTTATACAAAAACTTTATGGTCGAATTAAAACAGGACAAACTTGTTTCAAAATGGCAAATAACGAAAATAACACGGGGCGAAAATAACCCTGTATACTAAGTATATAGCGCTGAAAGTTTAAAAAATACAATCATTATGACTATTGTATGCAAAGAGTTTCTGTGTTAATTTATTATAAAAATAAACTTAAAAAATATCATTAAAATAAAGTTTCAGCTTTAAAGATGCACATCTGACACGAAGTTTCAAAAATCAATGACTCCGAATCAATCAGTAACAATTTGTCTTAGGAATATGTATATGTACATGTATACATGTACGTTTGGATTTTCTCCATTTCAATTAATGGGTAACATCAATTTCCTGTCAAAATTAATTACAATTCATGTATGTATTAGAATTTAAATTTAAAATCCTTACCCAGTAGAAATAATGTGATTGAGGTAGGTGTTATGGTTCAAACCGTAGTCTCCCTGTGTTGTATTTGTATAAGGAACAAATCTTATACAAGTCCAGTATTCATAGTGGTTGTGAGCTCGTATTCGACCCAACTGCTTTCCTCGGTCTGTAAAACAATTGATGTTCTAAATGAAATTCTCAGCAGAACAACTGTCAGAAAGAGCTAGAAAAGCTTATTATGCTATTAAAACCAATTTTCCAGCTAATACAAATTTTTCTGTCAAGACAATGCTTAAACTTTATAGATCTATGATTACTCCAATCTTAACTTATGGTTCCGAAATTTGGATAGCAGACTACAAATGTGATTTATTATCCTCAGATCATTTCCCATTTGAAAAAATACAACTCCAGATTTTTAAAGACATTTTGGGTGTTCATAGAAAATCATCTAATATTGCTGTTCTATATGAGTTGGGACAGTTCCCACTATTTTATTTGTGTTATGAAAATATGTATAAATTTTATTTCAGACTGAAAAACTTAGAGAGTGAAAATGATCATAATGACCAATTAGTGGTGTCTGCATTTAAGTAAGATAAAACACTGGGGTCTAGAATATCTTGGCAAAGAAAACTTTATACTCTACAACAGAAATTGTCTTTATCTTCATTGAACATATCACATAAAACTTTAAAATATAAATTAGAGGAACATTATAGAAACAAAATCAGTGAACAATTAAAGAACATTTCTAGATAAAATTCTGGGAAATTAACTTTTTATAGTAATATAATTGATTTAAATGAATATAAATTACAAAACCATCTAGAATTACCATTGAAGAAATCTGAAAGAACAATCCTAACAAAACTAAGAATTAGTGCTCATATCCTACATATTGAAATGGGGAGATACTCAAGGCCACCTATTCCTAGAGAAAAACGTGTATGTTATTTTTTAAATTTTTTATTGAAAATGAAAACCATTTTGTACTTTATTTTCCTAGTTATGATCAATGTAGATTACAATATTACGATATATTTAACGCACAATGTTACATGAAGGAAAACCCTATTATTGACATTATCAATCCTACAAGTATTAGAACTGCTAGGAAAGTTTGTAACTTTTTGAAAAAGTGCTTTGATATTAGAAAAGAAAACCTTCAACAAACCTGATATGCTTTCTTTGATATTTTTTTTATTTTATGTATGTTAATTGTTGTATTCATGACTATATGCCAATGTATGATGGTGTTGTCAATAAATGAATTGAATTGAAAAATGAAATCAATACTCATTTCAACAAGAGGTCCAATACCTTAACTTCCACTGAGTACAGTTATACTTTACAAATCTTAAAGTAGATCTAGTTACAGGTACGTCTCTCCGTAATATAACCCCTCCCAGCACTGGAAAACTTAGAATTAAGGTATTCCGATCCTCAGTCAGGAAGGACAGCTCTTTCATTTATAATTTAATCCAAAAAGTCTCAAAGAAGCTTGAAAATTAAATCTTTTCATGCAACAATTTTCATTTTATACCTCTTAATGTGTTTCAAGAACGGTATAATATAATTAACTTTAAAGATGAAGTTTCAAGAATTATCGTGGATAAAAACACATTACTTTGAAAATTCATGGCAGTGACATTTTTGTGAGTATTTTCAATTAGTCAGTGCCTGATTTTTAGAACCTGAGGATGGGATCGAGTATCTTTAAAATATCGGGTTGTTATACATGTATCCTAACTCTAAAAATTCCTATGTTTTATTCCTTGCGGCAAAGAAGCTGAGAAGAAAATTATTTCAAAGATATAATTTAAAAGTATTTAACTATTTTTTCATTTAAACAAAAAAATTATTCACAAATAGAAGTGAATAGGATTGGGCAGCAGGCGAGGCCTATATTAGCTCTCTCCCTTCACTTCACTTTTATAATATAATTATTGCAGATTCAAAACAACCCTGTTCTTACATCGACATCTAATAAATAGGTAATAAATTCGCATTTTTAAGAGACTCAGCTCATTAAAGCATACTTTTTAAGTTAAAGAACTAAATATTTGTATCAAGAGGGAGAATAAATCTTCAAAGAATTGTTACGTTTTTTTATACGGTATAATCAATTATAGTACAGAGCCCTTTACCAACACTTACTAAGGACAATGAAATTCACAAGTTTAGAAGAATTCTGCTTATCATGACCTTGCACTATAATTACGTTGTTTGTTTTTAATAATCTGCCACCAGGGAGTAGTAAAAAAAAGTTACGGATGGGATCAGAAAGAGGAAATCTGATGTAATGCAAAAAAGAATAATCTTGAAAAGGTCCCATTTTTAAAAATGATTGTAAACAATCTTACCTGACAATGTTTCAGCCTCAAACACATATGGTACAATCCCTTTGTCCCAAACTCCGGCGTTCGATACAGCAAATCGCTTATCCCTCCCTTTCCTTCCGACTGGGCCCTCAATCATCTTTGAATGAAAAGAAATTAATGGCGGTAAATTCATTCAACTGTCATCATGTTTTCACTTCACATACAATGTACAAAGGAAATAACAAAGAGGCCTTCTTTGAAATTTTTTTTCAAAGAAAACGTTGTAACTTTTTGGAAAACACTTTTTGGAAACATCCAATATTTGCTCTGACTTTTGAGAAAGTTTCATAGTCTTCAGCTAGCGTGTATACGTACAGTACCTCACAATTTACACTGGGACGAGGAACATCTTGGGGACTACGTCCATGTTTAAGGGCCAGTTTCTGCTGGCGGCGGTACTCTAGACATTCGTCTTCCTGTTCCTGGATAATTTCTTCTTCATTGCCTTTGTGCATATCTACCCTCTAAATGGCAAAACAAATTAAGAAGATTCATTTCAAATGAGGAAATTCTAGGAAACTTTAATTTCTTTCTTAGAATTTGTTTTTTGCCCCCGTAATCGAAGATTAACTTTAATACAGGTCATAACTTTTGAACAAGTGGTGCTAGGCCACCAGGGTTTCATATTTCACACGTGCATTTCTTGTGAGGAGACCATTTTTGGGTAACAATATTTGATTTTCCTTTGAGAAAGTTCAACTTTTGTTTTAAGATGCCATACGTGGGCATCAGTGTTTCACAAACACATCTTGTCTCTTTTATTTTTGCATTCTGAACTGAAAAAAGTTGAAAAAAACCGAACAGTGATGGATTTCCAAAAACAAAAACAAACCATAAACATTGCAAAGATGTGAATAGGTCATAAACATGAACCATTGGGAATTCCACAGATGGGATCAGGGGCCATAGAGGAGTAAGCATCCCCTTGATCTTGATCGGTCATATTTGTGAACCCTATCTATATATAATTATAGTCGACCAAACATTCCATAGTCAAGTCAAATTTAGTACAAAAACAAAGGTCTAACAATTTACATGAAACATAAGTAATAGGTTCTGTTTGCTTATAATACATGTAAGGTCATTATACCAACCAAAGAACTCAAGAAATGCAGACTTTAATCCAAAAATCATTTTATGTTTTGCTTACATGTTTCTTACGTTGATGTTCGTGTGCTTCGTTGGAATCGCCTTTTCTACCGAACACGTGGTATTCATGGGCATTGTCTACATCTCCTTCGTCATCGTCCTTTATTATAAAACAAGAAGAGAATACAGTAACTGAAAAATGACTAAGTGAGACTAAAGTTGAACCTTTATTAAGTTATTTGTGGTTAAACATATATCACGGGTATAAAACGGACTTTTATAACATTGAGAAGATATACAATTTCACCTTTATTAATCAACTTTTATAACATTGAGAAGAAATACCATTTCACCTTTATTAAAATGAATAGATATTACAGAACGCATCATTAGATAAGGATATTTTATAATAAACAATATCATAACGTATATTGTACGTACTCCAAGATCGCCCTTTGAAGGAGGGTGTATTCCGCTCTTCACATTTTCTCTGTCACGGACAAAATCATCAAGTTTTTCTCTTATTGACCCAACTTTATTATTGATCTTAATTTAAAAAAAAAAACTTTAGTTCATTTATGATTAAAAAAAAAGAGAGAAATAAAATGTTACTGATTACTATGCTGTAGATTCCTTATTTTTGCGAGTACTTATTATCGCTAAATGGCCCTTTAACGTCAAATCACGAAAATATTAATTCACGAGTGGACGGCTGATCAAGAGAATTTGGCACCATAAAAATAAAAGCGTGTAATTTTATTTCGGGAGTGGTGATTATTGCAAAATTACGCGATAATTAATTTCTGGTGAATATTTAATAGGAATTTAGAGTACGTAAATTTTTTTTCTACTCCACATAGTATACCCCCTCTCCATCTGCTTTAACTCACGCCTTCGAAGCAAACATTTTGCATTTAACTTTTAGAAAATTAACAGTACATTTAGTGAAACTCGAGTACGCTACACTGTATGCGCAGTGGTTAGAGCGTCTAAGTACGACTCGAGTACGCTACACTGTATGCGCAGTCGCGGCGTTAGGAGTTGATCCTTACGATCAGGGGGTCGTAAAATACAGGGTACTTAAGTCTAAGACCATACTTAAGAAGGACTTAAGTATAGTCTTAGACTTAAGACCGTAACTAGAAGCATGCTAAGATTTGGCAATCTTAGCAAAACTTATTGTCAATGACCTCCTACTCTATATTTCTTGCATTGTATCTTAATTAACTCTAGGTATAACATATCATTACTCTAACTATCTTATAACCCATATTTAGAATAACTAAGAGTTGAATCTTGATGTTAAAACATTCCTCTGCATATTAAGCATTAATTAAAGAAAATAATGATTCCTTTTTAATGCTGGTTAAAGAATTTTACTTTTTTTCCTGGAAGGGGGAGAGGGTAATGAATGAATCACTGGTAACAATTCCTCCTTAATATGGCAAACATATAAATGCAAAATTTTATTTTTGGATACATTTGATACACATGCACTGGTAGGATCTACATGTATATTATTAACACTAATCATTATAAGTAAATATTGTCCACAATAATCATAGATGCGAATGTCATTGTGAAAATGTAATATAAAATAGATTGAAAGAGATAGAAAATTGCCGTTAATATGAATAAGAGGAGTGTGGCTAGAAAGTACATAAGGAGTGTCTGTAAATTAGATACAATGTAGAACGCAATTACCAGATTACAAGCGCAGATTCAGACAGAGACTCAATACCGTCAGAGAGAGAGAGAGAGAGAGAGAGAGAGAGAGAGAGAGAGAGAGAGAGAGAGAGAGAATGTTGATAAGGTTGAGACATACGAAAAATTTAATTCTAAAAGAATTCTTTTTGACCCTTGATTAAACTAATTTAATTGTATAAATTAAGTAATTCGTAAATCGGAGGAAAAGGGATTCAAAATGTCTCAATTGTATTGTATTTTATAAACCTTTTGAAATTAAATTTTCAATTTCAAGTATTGTGCCATGACAAAGAAAGTGAACATCTGTCAAAACAAAAAGTAATAACAAAAGATACTATAATTAAAACTGAAAACATCTCTCAAGGGATAAACAATATTGTCATTTATTTAAATTGAACCAATAGCACTCATAGCACTTTGTGACCGTTCAATATTTGTTTTCAAATATTAAAAAATTTTTTTTAGCATAATGAAAATTTTAAAATTTTAGTATGAAATCGACCTTAAGTAACCTAACTAAAATTTAAGAAAGCACGTCGATTTTGTATATCGTTAAAGGCATAACTGAATATTTTCGTCGATACAAGTTTTAAAAAAAATGAAAAAAGAACGTGATTCATAAGAAATATTGTGATCATAATTTTGACCTAGCTAAGACCTCACTTAGTTCGTTTTATGTTACGGTCTAAGACATAATTAAGAACTTATTTTTACACAGGCACTTGTTTCGTATACGGATCACCCTTACTTATTTTTACCACTTGTTTCGTTTACGGGGCACCCCTACTTATTTTTACCACAAGTGGTAAAGATAAGTAGGGGTTCCCCGTATGGTAAAAATAAGTAGGAGAGCCCCGTAAACAATTGCCTGTGGTTACAACCCCTAGATTTGCACCCCCTCTGAGGGATGTGGAGACCAGTCCTTCTGATGAGACTGTATAAACCAAGGTCCCTTGCCGCAAGAGGTTCTGGCACGAAAAAGAAACAAAAATTGTATATCGTGAAAATGAATGCATCAATTAGTCTTGGTTCCTATATCGCGTTGTTGGGGTGCGCATATATGCGTCCTGTTCAGAAGTATTGTAGCGGTTTTTTCTTCATTATTAATTTATTGTAGATAATTTTTGCATGTCATCTGATTGCTGTAGAACTGCAGCTCTCTGAAAAAATTATATTGAAAACAGGTTTGTCAATTCACTGTATGTGTTGTTTTTTCATAATTGTTTTCTCAATTTTGATGTTGCTGGTAAGAATCGTTTGTTGACCTCTATTAGACCTTTAAACAAAATATTTGATGGAAAAACATGTTTTTAGTGTCTTATAATAACATTTCTATTGACTACTTTTATTTGTGTTTGTGAAAACAAATACAGTGCAAATGCGTACCTCGTACACCAACCGGGCATTAACGTGTGCTGAATTTGTTATACATGTACATGTATTGAAGAATTTTCCTTGGTCAAAAGATTCTAGCGTATTCATATTAACATATACATGTATATACAGTCAAAGAACATTCACTCAGTCTGTTATTGCTCATAATTATTTGTTTAAGAAAATATTGTTGCATGTAATTATGCTTTCTACGATTTAAACTTTCTGAGTAGAGATACTGTTTTAAGGTTGCACTATTAAAGACAATTTTTGTTTGAGGAAACCGTGCTATTAGTAATAAACATTGGCTAAACTCGAGCACGTTTTACTGTTACAAGCCTGAATTCGAAATTTGTTCATGAACAAGCTGCTATACGGGGGCATTAGTGTTTCACAAACGCATTTTGTTTATTTTATATACATGTATATATATATATATATATATATATATATATATATATATATATATATATATATATATATATATATATATATATATAACCCACATAACTATGTATTGCTTACGCCTTTGTTAATTTTTTTTTTCCCGATAATAAGTCCTTAAATATTTCAAAATTTATAATTGATCACAATTCATATGTTTAAATATCCCTACTATATGATTTTTCTTTCATTATTCTTTATTAAGTAAAGTTACGCCATTTTGAGAGAATGAAACAATGTACGATTTACTGATTGTCGTAATTAATTAGCATAATTAATTCGTTCAATTATGTAAATCGCACTTCACCCGAGTATACCCCATAGACCGGACGCATTTCATAGCGGTCCGGATTTCTTTCTTTATTACTGTTCTTAAAAATTTCCAATTCAACATGTAATTAAGTATGTAAATATCTAGTGTTTAATAGTTTAGTAGTAGTGCTAGTTGTTTTTGTTTCTCTTTTTCCTTTGTTCTTATGACTTTTTAACTTTTTTCTTTGTCCTGAGGAAGGGACAGGGTATAAAAACCTTGAAAATTTGACAATTTTTATTGTTCGTGACGTTGGTCATTTTTAGTGCTTTATATATATATATATATATATATATATATATATATATATATATATATATATATATATATATATATATATATATATAGTATTCATTTTTTGATCAATATTCAGTAAGAAAATGCATGGTACAATGTAGGTGGTTTTATTCGCATTTGGTTAAAAAAAATTAGATTTTCTTATTTCCCGATATAATATATGATTAATTTTAATGATAAAAATTTGGAGAATTAACGTGGGTAAATACCCAAGACTTTGAGAATTTTTGTGAGCATTTCCAAGAATTCAATGCATTTGCAGATACTGAGGATCGGACTACTTTAATTATAAAAATATTCACTAAATAGTACTTAAAGGTATTCCATCCCTTATAGCCTCAGATTCAATGAATTTGAATTCATTAATTATTTACTGCTTACTAGTTAATTACATTTTTGAAACTTTCTCTTCGTTAATCCTTTTATACTGTAAGATGCTTTGAATTATTATCAGAGTATTATATACTTGATGGGTATTTACATACATATATAAGGATAAAGAGTTAAGTCTATAAGGGATGGAAAACATGAATACAGAATTGCCTTAAATGGATTCTTAAATGATAAAATATTACCAAAGTGAAACGAATTTGAAAACACGAAATTTTTTTTAAGATAAGATTTTAAAATTTTTTTTTACAGCTTAAAGGAAACAAGAGGCACATAGGCCACATCGCTTACCTGAGTAACTTTGGTGATGCAGTCCTTTACCAGATTTCCCCTCTTCTTATATCTATTGGGGCCCCCTACCCCCCTCCGGGATCATGATTTAAATAATTTAGAATCTTCGCTACCCCAGGATGCTTCCACCTAAGTTTCAGCTTTCCTGGCCCACTGGTTCTTGAGTAAAAAAATTTTCCTAGTACATGAATATATTTCTATATAAAACTTGGATTCCCTATTGTGGCCCCGCCCTACCCCCGGGTGTCATGATTTTAAAAATTTAGAATCTACCCTACCCAAGGATGCTTCCACATAAGTGTCAGCTTTTATGGCCCAGTGGTTCTTGAGAAGAATATTTTTCCTACATATTTCTATGTAAAACTTGGATTCCGTATTGTGACCCCGCCCTACCCCTGGGGGTCAAGATTTTAACAATGTTTATTTCCACACTAACCTTGGATGCTTCCATATAAGTTTCAGCCATCCTGGCCAATTGGTTCTTGAGAAGAAGATTTTTAAAGATCTTTCCTATATATTTCTATGTAAAACTTGGATTCCCTATTGTGGCCCCACCCTACCCCCGGGGGTCATGATTTTAACAATTTAGAAACTATACTACCCTAGGATGCTTCCATATAAGTTTCAGCCATCCTGGCCAACTGGTTATTAAGAAGAAGATTTTTAAAGATCTTTCCTATATATTTCTAAACTTGGATTCCCTATTGTGGCCCCACCCTACCTCCAGGGGTCATGATTTTAACAATTTAGATTTTACACTAACCCAAGATGCTTCCACATAAGTTTCAGCTCTCCTGGTCCACTGGTTCTTGTCCTTGAGAAGAAGCTTTTTTAAAAGATTTTTCCTATATATTTTTATGTAAAAATTGGATTCCCTATTGTGGCCCCGCCCTACCCCGGGGGTCATGATTTTAACAATTTAGAATATACACTATCCCAAGATACTTCCACATAAGTTTCAGCTTTCCTGGCCCATTGGTTCTTGAGACGAAGAATTTTTAATGACCTCACCCTATTTTTGTCTTTTCTTGATTATCTCCCTTTGGAAGGGGACTTGGCCCTTTATCTATAAAATTTAAACTCCCCATCACCCAAGGATGTTTTGTACCAAGTTTCGTTAAAATTGGCCCAGTGGTTCTTGAGAAGAAGTTGAAAATGTGAAAAGTTTACTGACGGACGGACGGAAGCTAGACGGCCTACTGACAATATGTGATCAGAAAAGCTCACTTGAGCCTTCGGCTCAGGTGACCTAATAATATTATTTGCTCAAATCCAAAGAAAAAAAAAACTCATAAATTTATATAACTGTACAATCATTTACCTTTTGATGTTGTCCAAGATCTTGATTCAAAGCACGCAACAAATTTTCCAAAAGTTCTCGATTTGTGTCGTTCACGTGTCCACTATGTCCAGCTGATGTCCAACTCACAATTATTAATAGAGAGCACAGAGCGACTGGACTGACGGCCTGCATCTTGTTAGCCTGAACGCGTTGGTCCTGTGTCTATACCTGGTGTCTCGCATCCGAAATAAAAGTAAGTGGAGCAGAACTTAATTTGGGACCATTGGAGCACAATCGTCGCTTTCTACTGGTATCGTTTAATTTACAGGGATGATTAACTCTGTGTAAGCTTCAATTTTTTGTGGTTAATGGTTATATGTAACCTGTACAGTGTTCAGGGTAATGGATCAAGGATGCGGATATATACACATGTACGAAGTATACATCAAGTAATTTATAGGAGGTTATTTATATGGGAGAGAAAATTCATCTCGATAGATACATGACTGTATAAGATCTATTTTATGTATACACCTATTACTATTTTATACACCCAATGAACAATCTATAATGTGTAACATAAAATTGATTATTTGCTTAGCTCTTTTTCTAAAATGTGTCAATAAGACAATGAACAAAGTCAACGAGAAGTTTCCAATTTTAAATTAAATCTTTTAATTAATTATAAATCGTCTACAGCTATTCCAACCGAGAATTTTTGAATGTTCTGCATATTCAATTTAAGGTATACTAGTACTAGTATTATTCTACCCTTTTTGCACTAAAAAATATATATATATGTGATACTTAGAGAATTTGAAAAGAAAATAACTACTAGTATTATTATTATACGAGAGACCAATTCATTGACAAGTGAAATTAATTTCCGGTCACTGGTTTCAATCTATATATTTATGATATCGTTTCTTTAACTCTTTTGATTACTATCATAGAAGAAATTGAATGACCATAAAATCCTGTTGACCCAGACTATTGCTGCTTAAATCTTCACTTTTGTCGTCAATTTTACTTTATGAATTATCCAATAAAAGACAGCCGTGGATTCGGTCATGATATGAATACAAACACTCGTTAAAAATCGTTTTATATATAAATCATCAATGTATTTGTTGTGGGAAAAAATCTTTCTGATCGTGGTAACCAGATGTGTAGCTAGGGGTCATTTGATGTGGACACTTGGTCAGGGCTTGATCTAGAACAATAGAGCTGCGTGGTCTAGGCTGAAGGTCATAGAAGATTTTAATTTCATATAATGAACGTCACATGAATTTCATCCGCTCTTTTTGTCTGTACGTCTCTCTCTCTCTCTCGTTTCCCTCCCATTGCACAGAGGTATCTGTATGCCAAACTACCTAATGGTCCCATTTTTTCATCAAAATAAGGGATATATACATGTACATGTATATACAAGTATTTTAGCCATCCCCAATACATTTACTAGAGATGTATGACACATATTCAGAACTTCAATACTAGTATCTTGAAATATTTATTTTCCTTGAGAACTAAAAACACTTTCAGATAGTTATATATACGCAAACATATTTGCTAAAATAAAATCAATGACTTGAAAAAAAAAAAATTAACCTTGTCTTATTTATGTGTAATCTAATCTAAAAACTACACATTGTGCACAGTTTACCTGTACTAATGCGAATTCATTTAAACTAAATGTCAAGGTTTACTAAATATGTCTTTAATTACTTGTTATTACTTTTAAATATCTTTAATTTGAGAATCTCAATCCTTCGTCTTTTCACATAACCTTCTGAAAAAGGACGAGGTCTTTGCTTTCATCTTTTTGTACTTACTTTTTGCTAATCATTTTTGGGTACATGTGTATATGTCTCTTTATTCATTGCTAGCATTTTTAAAATTGTAATTTTTTCCGGCAAACTTTTTTTTTTCAAAATTGTTAAAATGAAGACACCCCATTCCAAGAGAAGATGATTAAAAATTTGTGAAAATTATGGCATCTTTTAAAAATCCTCTTCTTAGAAATTGTGAAACTAATGTGGAAACATCCTTAGGTAGAGTAGATTCAAGTTTGTTCAAATCATGACCCCCCGGGGTAGGTTGGGGACGCAATGGGTCTTTTAAGGTTTTTTTTATAGGAATATATGGTAAACTTCTTTTCTCAAGAACAGCAAGGTCGTGATTGGTAATGTTTATAT